AATCTTCTCTTGGGGATGCGTTAATAATGGCATCAACTAATACTTGAATTGGGTTCTTTTCAGTTAATAAATGAATAATTTCAAAGGCTTCTTCAACAACTCTCATAGCAAGAAGTTTCTTTCCTGAATTCTTTCCATGTTGCATCATACAGCAAACTAATCTTTCAACAATTGGGCATTGAATCTTTCTGAATGGCTTAATTTGATATCTTCCAGCTGTGTGTGGAAGGAAGACTTGATACTTAAGCTTACTATTAATGGCAAGGAGTTCCTTAAGTGAAATATCACTAACGGTAACATCATAACTCCATTTATTGAAAAGTTTTGGTGCAAAAGTGTGTGCAGCTTCAACTGGTTGAGCGACGGTTTCAGCCATTAATGCAACTTTTGTTCTAGTTGTAGGGTTTATTAATTTTTAGTAAATTACTAGATTGTTTTTACTATTAAAATTGTTATTTAGAAAAATAGAAAAACATTATTTATTTCCAAAAAACAAAAATTAAGAAGATAATAATAAGTGAAAAGTAAAAGATCAGATGTATAATTTTGTATTAGAACAAAAGAATGGGTGGAGTTGTTTTTATTTATTTGAAGAAAAAGTGTTGATTAAAAACGTATTGATAATGACAAGATGATAAAAAGAATAAAATTCATCACCACAAACTATTCTTAAAGAAAAAAAATTAATAAAAAGATTCATACCTTTTCAAAGTAAAGAACTTAAAATATAATAAAAATAAATGGAAGAGATTGATATTATTACAACTGGTGGAATTGTATTATTCAAATGGGGACAAGGAAAATTAAGAGGGGAACCTATCAATGCGGTTATCAAAGACCATTTATTGGCTGATAGAACTGGAGAAAGCAAAGCAATTGTTGAGAATTATATGATAAGATGGTTATCAGATAATGAAACCTCAACTATAATATTAGTTGTTCATGTTAAAACAATTAAAGTTGATTATATTGATTTATTTATTAAAGAAATGATGAAAAAATTTAAAGAACAGTATTTACCAAGTAAGACAATTGTTAAAAGTGTTATGAATACTACTGCAGAAGAAACATTAAAGGAGTGTCAAGAACGTTGTAAACAAGACAAGGCTAATAAAAGGATGAGGAAATTTGAAGAAACTGAAAAGGGAGCTGAAAAAGCAATGAAACTAAAGAAAGCTAAAGGTGAAAGTAAAAAGAAAGAAGAAAAAATTATAATTGGAGAAGGTGAGAATAAAACTTATAAATTTGAAGGAATGAAGAAACAAGAAAAACCAAAATCAAATGGTTCTACATTGTCTAAAATTTTTGCAGGATTTAATGGTACTAGAATTATTGATGAAGCAGAGTCAATAGAACAAGCAGAAAAAATAGAGAAAATGTTAATTGAAAAAAATGTTAATTCTGAAATTGCAGCACAAATTAAAAATAATATTCAAACCTTATTAAATGGAAAGAAAGTTGATACTTTTACATTAAGTGGAACTGTTATTCAAGGTGTTACTGAAGTACTTACTCGAATTATGACACCAACAAGTCCTATTGATGTTGCTAAAGAAATATCTGAAAAGAAAGCAAATGGAGAGGTTTATACAATGGTGTTCTTAGGAGTTAATGGTGTTGGTAAATCAACTTCATTATCAAAAATGGCATGTTGGTTAACATCACTAAATTATAAGGTAATGATTGCAGCTTGTGATACGTTCAGAGCTGGTGCTGTTGATCAATTAGCTGTCCATGCTCAAAAATTAGGAATTACATTATATGAAAAGGGTTATGATACTGATCCATCTGCCATTGCTAGAAATGCATTAAAACGAGCAAAAGAAGATGGGTATGATGTATTATTAGTTGATACAGCAGGAAGAATGCAAGGAAATGATGCACTGATGAAAGCCATTGCTAAATTAGTTCATTCAGCACAAACTGATTTAGTACTGTTTGTTGCTGAGGCATTAGTAGGAAATGATGCAGTTAATCAACTGACAACATTCAATAGATATATTATTGATTATGCACCAAACAAACAATCAAAAGGAGTAAATGGTATTATTTTGACTAAATTTGATACTATAGATGATAAAGTTGGAGCAGCCATATCATTGACATATTGTACTGGAATACCAATATTATTTGTAGGGTCTGGACAGCATTACACGGATTTAAAATTATTAGATATTGATGAGTTAATCTCAACACTCTTAAAATAAAAATAACCATTTTTCTTTTTCATCATTTTTATTTTATATCTTTTTATCAGGAAAGTGCTGAATGAAAAGAAACACAACAGACAACATAAAAGCTAATAACAAAAGAAAAATTCATTATCAACCAACAAACATAAATGACAGAAGAATGAGTGAAAGTATGTATTATCTGTATTAGCAGGGAAATATTAGTAATCACATGAAACATTACCATAATAATGACTATAATCAAGACAAATACATCATTAACTATATGCTTCTTTTCACTCATTATTTCATTAATTTTCATTATCATAACTATTTTATCATAACTTCAATAGAAATCAACAGTATTATCATAACAAAAATAAATTTCATAATAAAATACAACAAAACATGATTATGTATGTAAACAAGTTATATAAACAGATATTAATTACATAATTTAATGAATTTGATACGTTTGATTTTTAATAATCCTCTTAAATGTATTAATAATGATGAAACAGTTATAACTTACAATAATGATTTATTTATTAATGACAATTCATTCTATACTAGAAGAAAATATATATTAACAAAGCATGAAAGAAAAGAGATGATGTATTATAGATGTTGCTATATTTCCAAGATATGAATATAGAATTAAATTATATTCACAAAATAAATACAAAGAATTACAAGAGAAAATAAGAATTAATAAAGAATTAATAAATGAAGAAATAATACCTGTTATATTATCAATAAATGGATTCACAAAGAGTCTATAAAAAGAATAAAAATAATAAAACTACAATTAGACTTCTCCAAAACCATCTGAACAATCACTATAAAATGTATGAAAGAATTAATGTTTTACACATTCAATTCTGGCAGCACATTAGAAGAAGAATCCAACTTTCTCTTAATATAAAATAAATATAAAGGATAAGTAAAACATAATGAAGAAATTGAAATTAACATTTCTAAATAATCATAAAAATAAACTGTTAATAAATATATTAATTAACACTTTTTTTACTCTAAATTAGAGGTTAGAAGATTTTATGTTAGAAGTACAACACAAACATTAAAATACATCAAAATTTTAATTCATCATCTATCATCATTTATGATGTTGTATTTTTATAGAGAATGTATTACCCAACATTGCAAGAATAGTAATGATTCTTATTTGTGATGATGGATAATATTTATTATAAGAGAAATATCTATATTTATAAAGATAGTAGTATTATTATCTGTTAAAAATATGTGTGATAATATGAAGTATTTATCAAAAAAAAAGAATTTCATGCTATTGGTGACAAAAGAAGATAGTCATAATAAGACAGTGATAATAGGATGTTCATTCTACATAAAATAAGAAAATAAAACATGAAGAATTTTAATACACGACTAAATTCAAATAAAAATCAAATAACAATTAGAATAATTTAAGTTGATAATGTTTGAAAAGACTTTAATTTCATTAAAATAAAGGAAAGAAGAATAAAAAAATTACACTTCTCAACAAACATGAAAAATTAAAGAAAGAATGAATTGTTAATGAGTAAATATTCTTAAATACAACTATGTGAATATTCTCTAGTGAGCAAAGAACAATAGAAAATACATTCAATAACATTTAATTAATTATTTTTTATTTATATAAAACTTGATAACATATTAGATAGATGGTACAGTAAGAAAGGAATGTGGAATAGAATTAAAAAAGCCCTAGGTCATAAAATCCCAGAAACAAAAATAGAAGAAATAATAAATGAAGGGATAGAAAAGAAAAAAGAAAAAGAAGTAGTAGTAGTAGTAGAAATAAAGAAATTATTGACAAATACATCAAAAAATGGAAGTATCATCAAATAAGTGAACATTTTAGAAGATGGTTTGAGTCAAAAGGAGTAGATAAAACTACTACAGTGAAAGCATGGAAGTCCATCAATATTAAAAAGAATGCATTTCTTCAATTAACTAAAATGCAAGATGGAGCAATATTTTGTGGGTATAAGAAAGCAAAAATAATGAAAAATGAAAGATTGAAATACTGCCCACTATGTAAAGACAAGATAGCTACAGTAGAACACATTCTACTATCTTGTATTTATCATAATAAATCACAAATGGAAAAACATGACCATATTGGCATTATAATATTGATTGATAAGAAAATATACATTAAATAATCAATATAAACATCCTATATGAAACAGTGTTCCAATATAAAGACATCACTATGATATGGAACAAACAAATAATACATAAAATTGATGGACAATACCACAAAATATCAGATATATATGTATTAGATAAAAAGAATAAAACTGGTCTAATATTTGATATGACTATTGTGGATGATCACAATATTAATTAAGTGTAAATGAAGAAAAGAAATATGTATAAGGAATTAAAGAATATTCTAATGAAAATAGAAAAATTAAAAGATGTCAAAATAATTCCAGTAATAATATCAATTAATTGAATTAATAAATAAATAAAGTATCAGACTAATCAAAGAATTAAAAATTGAAATTGACATTGTTAAAGAAGTAAAAAACCTTGTAATAAAAAACATGATGGATGTCATTGAATACTGCGGAGATCACAACCAAACATACTCCGTAGAGCTACTAGAAGAAGAAGACGAAGGGATGGGATTAGTCTCCCCTGAGCCAGGAAGAATAGAATCTATTTCTATTAATACTTAATTAATTGATTTTATTATTTATATAAAACTTGAATGGTTTAAAAAAAGTGAGAAAAGCTTTTTTAGAAATTTGGAATGAACTTAAAAATAAGAATTTTAGATATCAATAAGAATTGATGGATGTAGAAGGAATTATATTTGATCAATGTACTCTTTCATTAGATGAGAGTGATTTAAAAATTAAAAAAATGATGCGATTGAATACAGAAGATAGAAGTCTTATCAAATGTTTAAAATTAATAAATACTGGATTAGTTGGACTCAATAAGTTTAAAATATCAATATGCCCTCAAATACTTCAACACTTTAAAGAGGCATATAAGTCATTATTACTTTTACCAGAAACAAGTTTTTCAACACAACAAATTATTACTACAACATTATTAATTAGAATTAATGAATTAAAAATTATTAATAAAGTTGTTGCTCAATTAAAAAGAGGTGAAATACCAATTGTTTTTATTGATAAAATTGATCAAGAAATTATTCGATTACAAGAGTTAAATACAGAAATTCTTCAGTTTCATATTAAACAAGTGTTATCTGAATTAATTCTTATTAGAAGTGTTATTACTATTGCTAAAGCAGTAAGTATTTTTGATATTAATTTGCTTCATTCAACAATGAAAGACGTTGATACTACAAGAATGAATATTATTTCAACTATTACAGAAATTTTTTGTGGTGATCCAATTAAAGTTAAACAAATGTTAAATACATTTTATTCATTTGAATGGAATAATTTTATTAATAAATGTCTTGATCTATGTATTAGAAGAGGAGATATTTTATTAGGTCCTCCTAATTTACAATTGTTTAAATCACTTGAACTTTTTGAGTCATTTCGTTTAAGGTGGAAAGGTAATTTTATTATTCTTCATTCTATCTCTTCTCTTATAAATATAAATAATACACTCAAATGTTTTATTGATAATTCATATGGAAATCCATCTCATCCAATAAGTTTGATATATCCAGAAAGTTTTATTGATGAATATGAATATTGGATTCCTTCAATCCTTGCTACTATAGTCTCTGCTAGTGATTTTTCTTCTTATCTTGTAGAAGAAGAACGAAAAGAGCTTCGATCTTTTATAATAGTAAAATGTGATAACGTATATTTTATTTGGTGTGGACATTTTATCACTCAACAAATTGATGTGATAGCAGCGCAGTTTGATGAGATGATTAAACAATTGTATTATTTATCGGATTTGTAAGATTTTTATCATATCTCTTTTTTTAATCACAAAAATTTTCATTATCATTAGTTTAAACCTCAATATAAATCTCATCTTAAAATCAACAAAAGCAAAAGGAATAATAAATTATAATAAAATTATAAAAGAATAATAAAATTATTAGAAAGAAAAAACTGAAAAAATTGTATCTTTCAAAAGAAAAAATCCAGTAATTGATGACAGAAGAAAAAGACTTTATAGTATTTGATGTGGAAAAAGAAAATAAAAAGAATCAAGTTGTTCAATGTGCTTTCAATGGAAATGAATCAAAACTTAGTTCTAATGGAATAACTGGTAATGTTAATATAATGTTGACTAATACTGATGAAACAGATACAGACGTTGAAGAGATGAATTATATTGTAAAAAAAATTAGTGAAGAAAATTATTTTTATTATATGCGATCAGAGTATGAAACATTTTTATTAAAATTCACTACAACAAATATGAAAAAATTATCAGATCAATTCTATAAAGAGTTTGTCAATAAGAACATTAAAGTGTTCTTTAATAAAATTAAAAAAGAAACAATGTACACGGAATTAATATTAAAGTTCATAACATTTTATTTAAATTTATTCTTTTCTAGAATTGAACTTGTTGATGAAGAAGGATGGAAGTTATTTGGTGATATTTTCAATTATGAAGAATTTAAGAAAAGTAAAACTGTGTATAATATTGAAAAGGCAAAGTATATTGAAGAAGTACCATTAGTTGTTGAATTTATTATAGAAATAAATAAAATAGATGGGTTTAATAAAATATATGAAATGATTAGATTATATGATTTAAAACTTCTTAATTCTATGCTTACATCTGTTAGTTATATTTTTTCAAATGACAATATGTATTTAATTGAAGACCAAAGAACAGAAATAGCAAAAGGTATTTTTGAAAGAATGCAAGAATTGGATTGTAAAACTTGTTCTATTCAATTAATCAAATCATTTATATCAATATCTGAACATTTTCTTTGTGTTGAATATATAGATTATATTATTTGTTGTGTATTAGTAAAATCATTAAATTCTTTTGATCAAAGAATGACATTTTTTACTTCTGCTACAAGACTATTAAAAAAATTAACATGTGAATGGGTAAAAGAAGATTTAAATAAACATAGTTTATTAGAAGAACATAAAGAAGATCCTTTTAAAACACAAAATGAAATTGTTGAATTATTTATTCCTTGTTTAAGTATATTAAATGAATCTATTCAAAAACAAATATTAATTACAGCATTACCAATTTTTGATTTCTTAAGTAAACATGGAAAGAAATCGGAAATATTTGAACGTTATTTAATGATTATTGGGAGCGGACATATTTCAATTGTTGAAGTTATTATTCCTGTATTTAAAAGTATGATTGAAGAAGAATTAAATGATGAGACTTTTTCATTAGTTATTTCAACATTAAGAAAAGTAGAAGACAAAACTATTGGACATTTTGAATTGTTTTGTGATTTAGTTGAAAAGAAAGTTTCACTTTTAAATGAGTTATTTGACTTATTTATTAATAAAAGTGATATAGAAATTTCTCAAATGTCAACTTTATTTTCTAAAGTTATTCAAGTAACTGAAGACAACCCTTTATTTAATGAGTTAATTAATAAGATTAAAGAATTTATTGACAATTCATATAAGGAAGAAAAGTCAATAATATTTTGTGAAGCTGTATTTGCTTTATTAATTGAACATTCCCAAAGTAGAATATTCATTGAAAAAGGAATAAATGAAATATTTATGAAAGTAATCACTGATAATATTCAACTGGAATTTACTAATGAAAGAAAGGAAATAGTTGGTGGTGCCTTAAATGTTTTGTTAGGAATGTCTCTTATTGATATTGAATTACCATTAACACTATTTTCAGAATTATGGGAAGTTTTTATGAACCAAAACACTTCACAAGAATTTAAAAGTCAATTGTTTTTATTCTTCAATAATTTCTTTAGTAAAGATAGTGAAGCAAAAGAATTAGCTTTATGCCCATTAGATGAACATCTCCATAATGATGATGAAATTATTCTTTTTGACTCTTCTGAAGGAGTACAATTAATTAAAGTAATCATTGAAGAAGTAAATAAAGAAGCTTTAATAAAAAATGGAGAAGGATATAAATTTAATGGAAATTTAAATGATATTGCTCATCTTGTTCCATTAAAGCGATTATTGATTATCACTAATAATAAAGTTACTGAAGAAAAAGCAATGGATTTATTGGTATCTATTGTTAAGTCAGTTCCTGTTCAAGTTGGATGGAGGGTTGTCATAGAATGGATAAAAGACATTAACCAATTATATTCTCAGAGCCATGACGATAAATTAAAGAAAGAACAAGTTATTAATTTAAAAGTTTTAAATGCCTTATTAATTGAATGGACTTCAACTAGTGAAGGAAAAGCAATTTCTCATGTAAGGTCTTTAAAAGGAAAACCAATGATATTTAACGTTATTATAAAGACAGGAGAAAAGGTTATTATGAAAAACCAAATTAAAATTTTATCATCTTTAAGTATTGGAGAAATGAAAAAAAGAATTGAGAAAGAATTTAAAATTGATTTAGATAAATCAACAATTGAAATAGATGGTGTTGATGATTTTGATGAAACCACAAGTATTAGTGATTTGTTACTACAAAATGAAAGTGAAATTGTTGTAAAAATGGCAAAAGAAGAAAGTGATAATTCGTTATTTAGATCAAATGAATTCCCATCTTCTCAGTATTACAAAAAAGAAGTTAGCATGGAAGATGTTAAAACGTTAGTAGAAATGACTGGAGTTTCAAAACAAATTGCATACTGTGCTTTAAAAAAATATTTATATTATTCCAATGCTGTTGATTTAGCATGTTCAGCATTGTTTGATGATATTGACTCTATTACAGCGGCATATACAAAAGACCTTGAAAATGGTGAAATTTATGATATTCCAGATGATGATGAAGTTCCAAAAAAAGAAGTAGATCTTTCATTTATTAAATTAGTCTCAGACTCAGATGAAATAATAACAATTGTTGAGTGTTTAAAAAAACATTTTGGAGAAGAAGTTGAAAAAATTGTATGGAAAATTATGATGAGTTTACCATCATTTAGTGGAATAATGAAAAAAGTTAATTCGTGTTTTGGAATGAGTGAACTGTATGGACCAAAAGGAGTATTTAATCTATTAACAGAACAGAGTGACTATACATTATTATATACTTTACAATTAGTTGATAAAATATTGTTTCCAGAAAAAGATAATGAAAATTCTACTACAACAGATACAATAAAAAGTCAAACATTATTAAGGGAGATTATTGTTAAATCTCAACCAATTTTTGATCAAATTTGTTTGGCATTCAGAAGTGTATTAAGAAGAGAAAGTAATTTGATTGTTGATATTGTTGAAATGTTCAGTAAGATATTTTCATTCTTTATTCATAAGTTATGTAAGCATCAACAATTGACATTTAATGTGACAGAAAATCATGAACTTTTTGATGAATGTTTTGATATAATTCTTAAGAACCCAAACAATCCTCATATTTCAGGTGTTTTTATTTCTATTTCTTCTTCTGTTTGCGAGTTAAGAAATAAAGGGTCTAGTATTAATGTTGTTCCTGATCTTCATGACTTTCTTATTCAATACTTCAATTCACAACAAAAGTATGATGATGAACAAGTCATTACAATATCATTTATAACTTCGTTAGTCAATTTTTATCAAAGTAATTCAACATTATTATATGACCAAACACAAAAGTTAATGAAAGATTTATTTAATGCATTAGAACTTTATGGAACAAAAAGGGCAATATATTTTTATACTAAAACTATTTGTTTATTGATTGAAAGTATTAATGAAAATATTATTGATTTTCAAGAAGTATTTGATTATGTTATTCAAAAGATATGTACTGTTGAACCAAATGAACAATTTACTGATGACTCAGATTATTATATCACTGGGTTATTAAAAATTGCTAAATTATTATTACCAAAAGTTGAAATTATTCCAGAGAAGATAGATTTAACTATTTCTAAAGTATTTAATAACTGCTATGGAAATCCATTAAAATATAAATTAAAATCAGTAAGAAATAGTTCATATGATTTAATTAATACTGTATTTACAATTTGTCCTAATCTTATTAAAATGTTTAGTACTGAAGTATTTGATAAATGTTTCCAATACAAAGTTATTAAAAAATTAGATATAGTACCAAAGACGAGTAGAACTGGATATAGAGGAATAAGGAATATTGGATCAACATGTTATATAAATTCAATTCTTCAACAACTATTTATGATGAAAGAATTTAGAGAAAAAATTTTAAGAATAGTATCAACTGATACTATGAAAGTTACAAAACAATTGCAAAAATTATTTATTTCATTAAAAGGTGGAAGTCAAGATTGTTATAGTGCAGACTCATTAATCGATGAAATTCAAAAACATAAAAAAATGTATGACCTCAAAGTTCAGCAACATGACGCTTGTGATTTCCTTATTATGTTACTTGATTGTTTAGAAGATGAAATGAATAAAGGAAGTCAACAACAAATATTTCCAATATTTACATTACAAACTGTTATACAAACTGATTCACTAGATAGTACTGTAAAAGAAAACCGTGAAACAAAAGAAGAGTTTAGAACTTTACCATTACCAATTCAAGGAAAAAGAAATGTAGGACAATGTTTAAGTAATTTCTTTAAACCAGAATTCTTTAAAGGAGATAATAGATTAAAAACTGATGATGGAAGGTATTTTAATGCAGTAAAACAATATAAAATTGAAAGTTTACCTCATTATCTATTTTTACAATTAAATAGATTTGATTCATTTGATGTTAATGTTATGAAGATTAATGATAAATGTGAAGTACCATTAACTCTTGATTTAAGTAAATATATGAAAAATAAAAATTTAAATGGAGAATATCATTTAAATGGTGTTGTTATTCATACTGGAAATGCTGGGTATGGACATTATTTTTCATATATTTTAAACGATGGAAAGTGGATAGAATTTAATGATAGTAGAGTTAGTTATATTTCATGTGATATGGCAACAAGGAATATGAATGGTGGATACAAGGATTTTGGAGGCTATTTGCTCGTGTATGAAAAAAAGGGTTATCAAGAAGAACAAAATCTAGACCAAGTTGGAGAGGATATTCTAAAAGAATTAAAAGCTGAAGAAGAAAGGATTAGTAATGATGTAATGTATCATGACAACCAATGTTTAAAATTAATACTTAAACAATCTAAATTATTTGATCCAACAGTAATGGGAAAAGCTATTATGTATTGTTTTAGATATGCATTTTCTTTATTAGATGAAGGAGAACAAAATAATGGATTAGTTGATCAAATTATTGAAGGTATGACGAACTATAATAATCCAGAGATTGGTAAAAAAATATTAGAAGATGCTATTAAAAATGATTTTGTTTCTTTATATTGTATTACTTCATTAGAAAGTATAAGAACAAGAGCATCAAGATTAATAACAACCGTAATTAGATGGGTAGCTGAAAATGATTCAGTAGTGTTATTCTCAGAAAGTGAGATATTATACAAGTTCTATCAATATCTAAGATCGTTATTAATATTTTCAAGGTCATATCCAAAAAATTTAAAACAATACTTTATATTGTTTGATGCCTTAGCTTCAATTGGACCACAAGCATGTTATTCTTTAAGTAAAATGGGATTAATCAAATCATTTTGGTATTATTTCCTTAATAAAAATGAATTTACTGAAAAAAATATCAGTACTATAGTGTTAGATGTATTTCCTGATTTAAAGTATTTTGTAACAACATTACAAAAAGTTATTTGTTCATGTTATACAGATGATCATAATAAACAAATAACTCCATTTTCAAATACACAAAATTCAGAATATTTAGATAATTCATATTCAAAGTATAAAAATTTAATATTTTCAAGTGATTTATTACTTCAATTAATTGCGTATAATTATGACTCGGGGTGTATTTTACTAAAACATATTAGTTATAATAATTTTGATGAAAGTTTAAATATTATTAACCAATTTAAAGAATACATTCATCTTCGTAAACATGAAAATGAATTGAGTAACTTTTTCAATGTGTTTGATGAATTGTTAATGATGAATGATGACTATTCTGAACTAAGAGCTTTTTGTCTATTTTCTCCATATACAAACAAACAAAGAAGTTCTTTATGTGGAAATATCCCACAAACAATGACAAATGGTTTATTGAAAAAGTTTAATATCTATTCACCATCATCAAAATTAAAACTATCATTTATAATTCGAATGTCAAAAAAATTACCATATGTTAAACAAATGTTATTGGAAAATACAATGGTATTAGAAAAAATGATCAATTATTTAAATCAAATTATTAGAACTAATTATCATGTATATAAAGAAAACCTTTCGGAACAAGATTTCATAGGTTATGGAAAATATATCATTCAAACTATACCAGAAGAAACAAAAAAAGAAATTGAATTCCAAGAACTTACTTATTTACTTGAATTAGTGGATGAACGTTCATCTATGTCATTTGATATTAATGCATTAGAACAAGAAATTAAAGAAACTAAAGAAGAGTTAAAACCACTTAAAGAGTATCAACCTACTTCTTCTGTACCAACTAAAGTAGTTTCAGATAGTGGTTATTTTGAATCAGATATTAATGATGATATTGGTTTGTCTACAACATATTCTCATTAAATACATTCAATTCCTTTTCTTTTTTTTTAGTATTTTATTTATATAACGTTTCATTCTTTTGTAATTTTTCAAAGAAAATTTAGAAAAATCCAAGCTACCTCTAAACCATGTTGGTTTATCTGCTTCTAACCTTGCTTGAAAATTACTTGGTTTGAAACACAAAAACTGTTATATCAATTGAAAAAACTCATTTAATACCTTTTTCTTTATTTTTGTAATCTATATATTTGTTCAAAGAAAGCCTCTTATTCTTAGACATGGAATTATGTCAATTATTCTTGAAGAAGATGGAATTGTTTTATCTAATCAAAAAGTTATATTCCCAAAGTATGGTTCAATAGAGTTGAACAAAGAGACATTGTGATTATCATTCTAATCATTTATTCCTTATATTAATGCATTCCCTTTTAAATATCTTGTTCTTAGATAGAGTTATACTAATAAACAGCACATTGATTTAGATACGACTAGAATTACTATTCCTCGATAGGGAAATACTTATTTGATTCTGTCTATTGTTCCAAGATGGATTTGTCTGATCAACTTATAATATCAGGAAATACAAACACACTGACTTTCTTCAAGAAGAAAAAAATATTTTAGTAAAAGAAAATCTTGTATTTTAGAGAAATAAAATAAATAGACAATTTAATTGAATTTATTTAAAAAGAATGAATTAACATGATTTTTTTTCTACTTTAACATAATTCTAATAACTTCTCTGCCACAACCGATGACTTCCTCTTTGCAAGTTCAATTAATTGAGGATACTTTTGGGTTAAATTTGTTAATGAATTTAAGGCACCAACTTGACGATATTCTCCGAAAGAACGTTCAACAAGAATTCGTAAAATTATTTCATTTAGACTCTGATCATTTAGTTCAATTAAATGAGCAAGAAATTGTTTCATCATTTCTGTAGTAGTAGTTTGTAGTCTCATTAAATCCACAATACCATTAACCAATTCAATTCTTTGATTATTAGTAGAATCTGTTATCATTTCTTTAAGAATATTTAATGAATTTGAAGTGAATAAGAAGACAACTATTGAAACACTTGGTAATTTATGGATTAATTTTAATATTGACTTAGGATTCTTTTGATCAAGAATTGATTGGTAGTCTGTTGGAATAGTTTTCAAGATTGGTTCAAAATGTTCAGCATAATTATCATCATGAGACACAACAGTTAAAATTGGAAGTCTTAAAGAAAGTACAGTATAAGGAATAACTGATACAAATGGAAGAGCAAATAAATGAACAAATGTTGGAAAACATTCTCTGATAACTAAAATACATATAAAAGTAGCTGATATAAGTTGTTTATTCGTAGTACTTTTATTAAGTAATAATGGTTGAATAAATTGAAGATATTTCATAAATAAATCAAAGTATACAATTAATGATTGATTTTTCATTTCAGATGGTTTAGACAATTCATATAAAACATTTCTATGAGAAAATAATTCTATCCATTGACAAGTAAATTTAGGATATTGATTTGGATGAAGAGTTTGAAGTACTTTTAAAATTTTTTGAATTAATAATACACTGTCAATACTATCTTTTGTTTTTTCAACTAAAACCTCAATTATCATTTCTAATAATACCAAATAAATATGTGAATGAAATTCTTGTTCTTTATAATTCTTTTCGAAGGATTTTATTATTTCATTAAATATTTGAGTTAATATATTTGAGTATATATTTTGTTCTGATTTATGTGAATTAATAATAAATCCAATAATTTGACTTGAACGATAACAATAATCTTTATTTTGTGTTTCAATACATTTTGTAATTAATTTATGAATACTTCTTTCAGTCATTTCTGGTGAAAGTAATTGAACAAATTTTTCAATAACATCAAATGCTAATGTTTCTTTTAATAATTCTATTAATTTATCATCTAAATGATTTTTAATTTCTTTCTTTACTCCAATACCATACATTTCCATTTGATAATTTGTAACTCCTCCATTTGCAATTTGAAGTTCTTCTGGTAATTTAGGAGCATCATTAAGATATTCAAATCCTTTTGCAACAAAACTCTCTTTATTTTTCATTCCTTCTTGTCGTTCAGAAGTAATAGAAATAATAAATTGTTCTAATTGTCGTTTAGCATTTTTTCTTAATTCATCTAACTTAATCCCAACTGTCATTTCAATGATTGGTTGAAGATTAGTCATAACAATTTCTTTCATTTGTTCAATGGGTCTTATGATATTTTTTTGTTTCATTGAAAAAGAAACAAATGGACATAAATATTTCCATAATTTTGACTCTAAACAACTTCTACAAGTATATTGAAGAAGTTTTTGTGCAATATCAAATACTCTATTAGAAGCTTCTGTAATTTTTTGTAAATTAGTTTCCATAGCAAAGTCTTTTTGAACCAACTGAGTAACAGTTGTAATTATGGTATTTAAACTAACATTTGTTGTTTTTGAAATATCTTGTAATGAAAAATCAAGTGAATATGTAATAATCATTGTCCATTGTAGTGTAGGTAATGATGGACAAATAAGATAATCTGGAATTACTGGAAGTGGATGTTCTGATAATAAATTAATAAAACTTAATGATTTTTCACAAAGTAAAAGTTGTTTTAATTTCTTTTCAGGAATAGGTTGTCTTTTTTCAATATATTCATTAAGAATACTCTCATCTCCATGACTTCTATCTTTAGCAAATTTAATTAATTTATTTAATGCTTCTTCTTCGGCAATTCTTATTGGATGAACAGTTAAATATTGTTCAGGTGAAATATGAAGTTTATTTAATAATTTATTAGAAGATTCATGATGCAAACAAAGTTCTGGTGATAAACTTGTTTCACAAACAAATTGCAATAATGGTTGTATCCATGGATTATTTGGAGTAAATACTGTAGAATTTGAAGATGCCATTAAGAAATGAATAATAAATTCTAACATTACATCATAATTTTCTTTTGTTAATTGATCAGTTAATAATATTTTAGGTCTTAAATGAATTGACCTTAATGGCTTATTCATTCCAATGGTTAATAAACCTAATAATGATCCAAGTGATTCAAATAATGAAGCACTGTGTTTATCATATTCACGTAATTTTAAAAAAATATTAATTGACTCAATAGTAAAAGAGAATAAATGTTCTGTTGTAGATTCCATTTCTTGTACAAATCGAATACATTCTTGTTGATTATTTTCATTTAATAAAGCAATAATAAATAAAGATATCTCAGTAAGTACTTTCTTATGATTTGCTTGTGGTTTTAATAAGTCAAATACTTTTTCTATTTCTTGTTTAAGTTGTTCTCTATTTAATCCTTCTATATTCTCTGTTGAAGAAACAATATTTTTTATAATTGAAACATTCTTAGAATCAAGTAAACTTGGAAGTTTGATATTAATAAATAATTTTTGGAGTAAATTTATTATATTAGAAAATTTATTATTTGCATTATCATATATTGTTTTATATAACACTGCATCATGTGTTTCAATATTTTTATTATCTTTTAATAAAACACAATACGTTGGCCATTCACTTAGTCGTGAACTAAATTGTTTTAATGCATGAATTCCACAATAAAAGAAATTACTTTTTAATGGTTCTCTTACAGCCCATAATATAACTCTTAATAAATGAATTAATGCACAATTTTTTAATATTCCTTTAAGAATAATTTCTCCATATAATTTACCAAATTGAATAGCAGTTTCTACTTTAGGAAAATCTTTTATTCTTTTAAACTCATCAAATAATGTTTTAATTAATAAAACAAATAAGTCATTGTCAATTTGTTCAACACTCATTTTTGCTTTTTGAATTTCTTCAACAAATTGTTCTACAGAAAATTTTCCAGCAAAATAGTCTCCAAACATTTCATTTGCTTTATTTGAAATATTTTGTTGTTGGTCTGTTTTAGAACAACACTGTTTCTTTGTTTCAATAGACTCTTTATCATAACCACAAGATGTAGCTGTTGCTAATAATTGTTCGATTACAGAATTGTCTATTTTATAAGGTGCTACTGTTTTAACTAATAAATGTTTATCTTTAATGAATTGAATAATTTCTTTACCAAAAATATTTCCTCTTAATTTTCTTTGTTCAATCAACCATTTATCTAAATTAAACCCATCTTTTTTAACTAATAAACATGCAATATCAAGTGCAAATGATGTTGGTTTCATTTGAGTAAGAACTTTACCAGATTTTTCAGTTTTAATAGAATTAATAATATCATCTATTAAAGATGGATTTTCAATATATAAATCTCTAAGTCCTTGAGCTAAAAGTAATTTATTATTTTTCCATAATTGTTGAATGATATTGTATTGTTGTATATTATTTCTTAGTAGTGCTAATACTGCACGTTGTCTTCCTGCACTTGCTTTACATTTACATAATATTGGTAATACAACTTCAATAGAATTATATATTGAATCAAAACCACTACTTGCTCGTTCTCCAATAGAAATAATTTGTTCTACAAATCCTTGTTGTTCCCAAACCATTTTTATTCCTCTTTGTGTTCCAACATTGTATAAAGAACAAATATATTTCATTAAATATTGACTTTCACTAGTTGATTGTAATGCAATATGAATAAGTTTTTGTACAATACAACCTTGTGCTCTTCCATTATTCCATTCTTCTTTAAAGAATGAATTAAATGGAAAATCTCCAATTTGTTGGAAGATTCTAATTAATAAAATAATAGCATTTAATGACTTATATTCATATCCTTGAAGGTCCATTACTTTAGCAATAATATTCCAATTTTTACATTTAGGTTTTAATACTGCTCCAATTATTTCAGCATCCCACTCTGATACTGTAGATGAATCATTTGTTGAACGTTCAACACATTGAATTAATAAAACAATTAATTCTCCTACTTGTTGTTCAGTCATTGAATCACCATAAATACTTGTTAATAAAGCAGAAAATGTATCTTTTGAACCAACACAAGAAGTACCTAATTCACCAACAATCTCTTCTGAAAT